TCCCATGCTGGGGAATTCATGGTTTGGTAACCCAGGTCTCTGCCTCAAGTCACTTTCACATGGGCTTAACTGGCCTCAGCTGAATGGTGGCCTCTTTCCCTAGGCTTAGTGGAGTGTGATGTGGCCTCAACACACTTCTCAAACCTATAGCCATCTCCATGGCACTGGAAAAAAGGAGGGGTAATCAGAGCATGGGACTGGCATTTGTTACAAACTCATATGTCGGGTCCTTGGGTCACCCAGTGCAGTGTTGCTGCTGGTAGCATGGTGGGTGGAGGGGAAAGGACTGAGCTCAGCATAAATGTCAGTTCATTGTTTTTCTTTTATCTTCATCCCGGTTCTAGATTCCTAAACCATGGAGATAGCTGAAGTTGCTTTATGTTGTCAAATAATTTTTGTTTTGTTTTGGAGAAGCTGGAGAGGTCATAGGTGTTAGAGGAAATGTCTAGACCTCCTACCTCTTAGTCACATGACTTGGAAGTGGACTCTTCCCCTGATGCTGAGGGGATTTGTGGCAGAGTGGGCCCCAGGTTTATGGGGGAGATATTTTCAGTCATTGTCTTTGTCTTCAACTATTTTTTTCCTCCCTGCTAATTAAGAAAATGCCCCGGTAGGGACCCATGAGCTATGGATCTAGGAGTGTAGATCAACTGAGTACTTGGAAACTTGGGGAATTGTCTTCCCAGAGAAAAGGTTCCAATCAGTTGGTCAATAAATATTGATTAAAAGCCTGCTATTTGCTAAGCACTGGAAATACAAAGAAAGTAAGAAAACAAAACAAAACAAAACAAAAACACAGTCTCTGCTCTCTAGGAGCTGACAGTCTAATGAGGGAGACCATGTACAGACAAGCTATAGACAGGACAGATGGAAAATAATCAATAGAGCGAAGGCACTAGAAGGAAGAAAGATCAGCACCACTTTCCTGGAGAGGGGGAGATTTTAGCTGGGACGTGAAGGGTGTCAAGTGAGAATTGAAGGAAGAGGATTGGTTCAGACCAGGGGTGAGGATTTGCACCCTGGAGGTCACCCGTGGTCCTCTAGGTCCTCAAGTGTGGTCCTTTGATTGAATCCAATCTTCACAGAACAAATCCCTTTAATAAAAGAATTTGTTCTGTACAATTTGGGCTCAGACAAAAGGCCATACCCAAGGACCTGGATCAAAGGATGGGCTTGGCTGTGGAAGTCCTAAGAGGATTCTTCTAGAATCTTAAGGATCCCATGAGGAGAGCATTTTGTCTTTTGTTTTGAGACTATAATTAAGCAGTGTGGGATGTATTTCCCTCACACTGGGTTTCAGTTGTTCAGGAGATCCGTGTCTGGGGCAGGTTGGACCTTTGCTGGTGCCTCAGATGGAGACAGAAATGCCTTCCAGATTCCATGCCTGCTGGAGGGGCCAAACTTCAGGCTCTGAATCAGGCTGGCAGCCTGGAATCGAGGAGGGGGCTACCTGTTTGCCAAAGTAATTGGTAGCACAGAGGCTGGCCCGTCTCTCTTGCAGAGAGGCCTCCCTTACACTGCAAGTTCTCATTTGCCCTCTGGTTTCTGGAAGAACAGGTCTCTCTTGGAGCACAGTGTCTGCTGAAATCTAATCTTTCCACAAGGCACTGGGGACGCAGGATTCTAATGACTTTTTTTTTTAATGAGGTATGTTATTTATTTATTTTTTATTGCTTTCAGCAATTGGGGTTAAGTGACTTGCCCATGGTCACACAGCTAGTAAGTGTCAGTTGTTTGGACAGAGGCTGGATTTGAACTCGGGTCCTCCTGACTTCAGGGCTGGTGCTCTCCACTCTGCCACCTAGCTGCCCCAGATTCTAATGACATTGGACCTTTCCAATGTTCTTACTCTACTAGTACACACGCTTTTGTTATCCTTCCTCGGATCTCCTTTCTTCCTTCTTAATCCCAATCTTGCATCATCTAAAGGGAAACCAAGAACCACAACAATGAGGTCTCTGGAAATTTCATTCAATGTCACCCTTACCACTGAAACCAATGATTGTATTTCATTTTAGCTCTGATCATCTCTCTGAGCCTTTCACCAAGCTCATTGGTTCTCAATCTCTGAGTGCAAAAATTCTAAGATTCTCCACAAAATGAAATAATATCTATAAAGCTCCCCAAAAAAGAGTTCTTTTAGACGAAAAGGGCAGAATCTTAGAAAGAAACAGACACAGAAGCAGCTGCTTAAAAATGTCCTGGTGAGAGCAATGACGTTTTCTAATTATCAGCTGGGGGAACTGTTCTTACATAACCCAGGCTGACATTGATATGACTGAGGATCATGTGGATTTCTTGCTCTGAAAACCAGAAATCCCAATATTACGATCATTTTTTCAGTTAGGGAATGGGTCTTAATGTTATAAGTTTGAATCTATTGCACATATCTGGAAAATGAGATTCTAATCCAGTATTTGGCTACCAGGAATAGTCTCTCTAAACACTGATGTACATAAGGGCCTTTTTCCTCTGTCCACTGTGCTAACAGATGGGAAGATGAATTGAAGTGAAAAGAAAGACAGTCCCTTTTTTCAAGGAGCTCCCATTCCAAAGGGGGAAGGTGATAAAAAAAAAAGAAATTTTCCTCCAGACCTCCCTGATGCTGCTATTGGCCCTGCGACCACCAGAGGGAGACATTGTAACGAGGTTGGGGCTAAGCTGGGCTGGAAATGCCCCCTGGGGCTCTTGGCCCCTGAGCTCCTGGTCTCCTGCTCTAGGGCCTGGGGGAGACTCAGCTGATGCTGCCTTCCCAGCCCCTCCCTCTGAGCTGGGGGCAGGTGGAGACCCCCCCCCTCAACACTCTTTTTATGACACAGTTTAGAATTCTCTTAGGGCCCAGAGTTTGAACAACATCTTCAGGCACTTAAAATGCACAGAACAATCACAGGTTAACCAAGTGCTCTGCACTTACCCTGTGCCAGGCACTGTGCCAGGTGCTGGGGGCACAATAACAAACCTGAGCACTCTCTGATCTCAAGGAGTTTCCCTTGTATTGGAGGAGTCCAGATGCCCCTGAATGAGGAAACACAACACAGAGAAATGCCAGGGGGCTGGGGGAGGAGGGGCCTCTCAGCTGTGGGTTGGGGGGGATGAGGAAAGGCCTCAGGCAGAAGAGGGGGTTGCAGCAAGAACCCCAAGAAAGAGCCTCCAATCTCCCACCTCCCCCCATTTCCCTCCATTCCCAGATCTTTGGGATCTGCCTGATGGTGGGTGTGGGCTCAGGCACAGAGGGACAGCCAGCAGGTAGTATTTACTGGGAACTTTAAGGTTTGCAGCACAATGCCATGTGTTAGGTCACTTAGGCCTCATTCCCTGCCTTGGGAGGTAGGTACTATTACGGTCCCATTTTATAGACATGAGAACTGAGCCCCACACAGGTTAGGTGACTTGTCCAGGGTCACAGAGCTCATAAGCCTCAAAGACAAAAACTGAAGGCAGATCTTCTGACTCCAAGCCCCAAGCTCTACCTACTGCACCACCAGGGAAGTAAGGCCTCAAACAGTGGGGATAATGTCAGGGAGGCTGAGCCCCAGAACTAAGTGAGGCTTGGAGCACTTCCCAAGGCCCTCTGAGGTCAGCATGTGTCCTAGGTTTGGGGTCTGGGTGATCTCCCCGACTCTGATGGTGAGGCTCAGGGGGCATGGAGAGAACTCCCCTTCCCCACCTGGTCAGAAGCAGCAGCATTCCCAGAATCCAGGGGAATAAGACAGTCTAAGAGAATGCCCTGAATATGAAGAAAGTGCTCACCTGCCTATCTCCTGTTTTCTCAAATGTTACATAAATTTTAAAAATTAGATAAATTTTCTTAAACTTTGTTTCCCTAAGGACTTTAATGTTTAGAGAATTTGCTTAGAATCCCAGATGGAGACAGGCCCTTTGGGCTTGATCACTGAATGCCAGAAGTGGAAGGGAGCTGAGACATTCCCTGGTCCAATCTACCTCATTTCACCAATGGGGAAGTGAGGCCCACAGTGAGGATGTGCCTGGCTTTCTTCCTCTGCAGCCTCTTGGGAGGCCTGAGCAGCAGGAGCCCTGGGGATTTGGGGACAGAAGCTGGGCCCACTTTCTGTTATGATTGTTCCCTCGGATGGTCGTGAGGCAGCTGTGGATTGGGGGCAGGGCAAGGCAACAAGCATTTATGAATCCCTTCCTGTGTACCATGCCTGTGCTAAGTGCTGGGGATTCCAATGTAAACCAAAGGAAAGACAGTCCCTGCCTTCCTGGAGCTTACATTCTAAGAGGGGAAGAAGACCCATGAAAGGGGCTCACAGTGATGGGGGAGAGGAGTCACCATCCCAGGGTGTCTCTGAAGCCTCCTGAGTCACAGGCACAGCTGGAGGGGAATGAAGCCTGGCTGTCCCCAAGCAGGGCCTGGGGGAACTCACCAAGGGGAGGAGGGGGCAGCATGGTGGAGGGATGGCCCACGGGGAGAAGGCCCCAGTGCACAGGGAAGGTCCAGGAGGAGAAAGCAGTCCACTTAAACTGACAAGGTCCTGGAGCATCAGACACAGAGCCTGAGGAGGAATGAGCCTGACTCCCAGAATCCCAGAATCTCAGAGTAGGAAATGACCTCAGGGCCATGATGCCCCTCCCCTGTCAGAAGAAGAACCCGCCCCCTCTGACCCAGGAGGCCACAGGCTTGGTCAGGCCTCACCTGAGGCCCCTCCTTCAGGGATCCAGAGCAGGAGCAGATTTGCATGTGGGGCCTCCTCCCTGCAGGGCCTGGGCTGGTCTTAAGAGAGGCTTTAGGGAGCCCAGCCCCAGCTAGGGAGCCTCAGGACACTGAGCTGTGGGAGGAACCTTGACCATGGCCTGGATCTCTTTGCTCTTCTCACTCCTGACTGTCTACACAGGTGAGGCTTCCCAGGGACTCCTCCCTGTGGCTCAAGCCCCACAATGTCTCAGGTCAGGCCTGCCCTGAGCTCATCTTGAAGCTGCTTGAGGGACCAGCATCCCCTTGGGGAGAGAGGCCCCTGCCTCTGGCCAATGTCTTCTTTCCTCTCCTTGCAGGTTCTGGGGCCTCCTATGTGCTGACTCAGCCACCTTCAGTGTCTAAAAGCCTGGGAGAGACAGCCTCCATCTCCTGTACTGGGGATGAACTTAGTAGCTACTATGTATACTGGTACCAGCAGAAACCTGACCAGGCCCCTAAGCTGGTGATTTATGAAGATAGCAAGAGGCCCTCGGGGATCCCTGCCCGATTCTCTGGCTCCAAGTCAGGGAACACG